CGAGATGTGTTTGTGTGTACAAGTTGCCCTAGGTATATATACTTGTCCATTACCTCTAGCGCTTCGCCTTCTACATGTATCTGTTCGAATTGAACTCTACTGTTAAACATGATCTTAGTCTTTTTCTTATTCATCCTAAGTCTGACTTTCAGACTTTATTTAGATCATTTATTAGTTGCTGCATTTCATTTGCAGACTCATTGAAGAGAACAATATCATCTGCAAATCTCTGTTTAGGTATTCATCTCCTATTTTGATACCCTTTCCGTTCCATTCTAGCTTCTTGAATATTTCCTCAAGGAAAGCTGTAAATAGTTTTAGTGAGATGGTAAAGCCTTGTCTAACACCTTTCTTAATTGGGATTTTATTGGCTTCCGTGTGGAGCTTGTCCGATCTTCGTATATATCTTCCAATATATTACAGTATACCTTCTCTACTCCCTGTCTTCCAATAACTTCTAGTACTGGTGGTATTTGTACAGGGTCAAATGCCTTTTCGTTTCCTACATTCGTTTTTTTGTTTTGTTTTTCTTAGTTGGGTGAGCGTGTGGATGTGGTTTGTTGTTTAGAATCCACTGCGGAAGCTAAGAAGTCATATGATAAAAACATTGGCTAGTTTCACTTATGAGGTATATACTAATTCCGTCTTCACCTAGTGTTTTACTCCTCTTCATCCCTTTAAGTGCTCTCTTTACTTCTGTTGTGATGCTAGGTACGTCTCTAGTTACCGCGTTCACTACTATCCGGGGCTGTTCATTTGAATTGTATATATCCTTGTAAAAGTTTTCCACTACTCTTATGATTTTATTTTTTATTATACATCACTTCTTCATACATTTGATTTCTCCCTATTCCGAGTTTAGCTGTTTCTATACTCGTACCTAAGATCACTGTTTCATTTAGTATTTGAGTATTGAATTTCTGTTCATTCTTCTTTTTATTTATAGTCCTTGTTAGCTCAGTTAATTCTGTTTTGTCTCTGTTTGACAGTACTTTCATGACCCTACGTTTTGTATAAGCTGTTTAGTTTCTACCAAAAGCTTGCTGGAGCTTTGCTTGACGTTCTTACCGTCTACTTCAAGTGCAGCTTCCTGTTTTTTATTTGGTCAATGATGAGATCTTCGTCGCTGAGAAGTGAATATCTGTTTTGGATGTTAAGGTTAAATTCGGTCTTCAAGTTAGTTAAATTTGGGTATGGTTTTCGTATAAATTTGTTCCTTTCCCTTCTGAGGTGTAATTTGTAAATTTGGCCTCTGACCATTTTATGGTCGCTGTCAACTTTTACTACATTAATAATATCCACATTTTTTACTATATTGCGCCAATCTGAAAGTATGAAGTCATTGAGTGATCGAACCTCTGCAAAATTGATTAGCATTTGTACCCTTTCATTTGTAGTGCCTATTCCACGATTCGCCTCTGTGGTTTCTCCTACCTTTTTACCTTTTTTTAAGTTGTACATATTGTTTAGTTTTATTGTTACTGAAACCACTCTTTTGCTTATACTAGTATATTCCACGATATTCTTTTCTAAATGTTTGTGAACTAAGAAACCTACCCCTAATTCGTGTTTGCTACCCTGGGGATTATCTCTCCAATAGAGCACATTTAGTATCTTCATTCCTTCGCCTAGTCTTCTAACTTCACACAGTCTTACAACATCCCATTTGATGAAAGAGAGTACCTGAAGTAGGGCTAGTAAGTCGGATTCATTTCTCATTGTCCTTACATTATATGTGCAAAGGTTCATCAAAATGGGGTGGCCTGTTTTTAACTGGAGATTTTTAGCACCCTCTACTTCGGAGTGATTCTTATCGCCACCCTAAGCTAGTGCTCCTTCGCCTCCGGGGAATGAGGGCCGTTGCTGTGTTTGTGCAGTCATGGTTTTTGATTGAGAGGTAGGCAGCCGAGTTACCCCTCACCACTTAGGTGTATCTTGGTGGGAGGGGGAGTAATTTAGCCGGGATGCCACTGATAAGTCCCTCCAGCAGGGTTGGCCTTGTCTAGTGCAGACTTAAGAGGAGCAATGCACAGGCCTGCTCACTACACCAGGGTGTGCTCCCGTGAGCATGGGCTTGAGTATCATGGGCTTGAAGTGCATATATGTGTGATTAAATTTTGTTTTAACTGATTTTATTTATGCGAATGTACGCCTATTGCAGGCATAGTTTTCCACACGCACATGCCCCAAGTACTACACATATGTTCATTTGCAAGCGTACACCTTTACATATACTCCTATGTGTATGATGTGTATACATACTCCGACATTATACATAACTACACACATGCACATGCATACACATATATAGACATATGCACACATCATACGCGCATACATATGGGTATACGCACCCACATATATCCAAACACACACATGTGCACATATCTTGTACACATACTTATAACTAAATGCACATAAATATGCGCACATACGTTTGTGAGTACACATTAGTGTTCACCCACATATTTATGTATATACCTGTACATGCACATACATATACACATATACATATACATATATACATACATATACATACACATATGCATACACATATACATACATACCCTTATGCACACATACATATGCACTCACACCTACACATACACACACATACATATACACATATACATATACATATACACATACTTGCACATACATATACATATACATATTAACGTATACTTATATAGTCTTTCTCTTGTATACACACACACATGGACATGTACACACAAACACGCATACACCTGCACACTTCTGTGCATAGGCACTCATACTTGTGTACAACCATTAAAACAGCGTCTGCATGAGTGCACATACGCATTATAATGAGCCCATACATTATAATGTGCATAAATTGTAGGCTTGCGGCAGAGGAGTTGAGGGAAGGAGGCGGGTGGTGTGGGAGAAGATTTAGGATAATGTTGGAATGGGTAAAGATTGGGTTAGAGGAAGTTAGAAAGGGGATTTTGTATCTGGCAGTTTTTCGGAGAGGTGTCGCATTCCTTATCGTCAAGCAGGCACTGCCCAGTCGGCATCGCATAGGTCCTGTGACTGCCATCAGCACTGGGTGATGACTGCGTATATTTCCTCATTACCCCTGTGGCTGTTGAGTGCATTTGAGCTCCAATCTATAGTTTCCCCTCGTTCGACTCTATGGTGGTTGGGAGGGGGGGGGGAATAATGACCTATGCAGTCCCCTGGCCAATCCTTCTGGAACATCACATGTTACTCTGGAACCTTTCGAGATTCAAAAAAGCAAAAATGGGAATCTAAATGCTTCCCAAGCACCCAGACCATGTAAGATGGAATAAAGTCCTCAATACATCAAGGACATCTTACCTGGTAATTATGAAATGATCTTATATAAGAAATACCTTGTAGTAAAGACCATTCATGACATATCCATCATCTTGATATTTTTGAAGTGCATAGGAGGTATTGTATGCTAAGAGTGGAGAACCACCTTTTTCATTACACTGGGACTAAACGAGACTAGAAAGGATTCCAGGTTCTCCTACATCCAGATTGGTTTTCAATCCACTTGAAGAAAGCCAATCCTATGGTAGCTGGATTTGGTTGGAATAGGGAAGGGGGAGAGATCCGAAGCAGTAGTCAGGGAGAGATTTCTTCAATACACTTCTAAGTACCAAGGATCAGATGCAATATATACAGATGGTTCGAAATCTGAAAATGGTGTGGGTTTTACAGCAGTGAACAGGTGGAAAATTGCAGTCTTTCTTCGACAGCTTCGATCTTCACTGCAGAGTAACATGCCATCCTTGCAGCAGTTAAAGATCTTTCAGACCATTCTATTATAATATATTGCGGCTCTCATAGTGCTTTGCAAGTCAATCAATATCTTAAACTCACCACATTCAATGGTGAGGGAGGTTCAAGATTGGCTTGCACTAATGTCAGCATGTAAAAAGATAACTCTGTGTTGGGTGCCAGAGCATGTTGGTATCAATGGGAATAAGCGAGCTGATCGGAAGGCCAAGGCAGTTGCTGCTCAGCTCTGTGATGCTTGTTCTTTTCTCCCACAGACCGACTTGGATCCCAGCATCAGACGCTGTCTTCGTGATGAACGGAGGAAGCAATGGAGGCATACCTCTAGAAACAAACTGCAAGAGATTAGAGATGGCCTTGGCAGTTGGGTGACCAGCATCCATCCCAACCGACAAGTCGAAGTTGTCTTAACAAGACTAAGAATCGGGCACAGAAGACTGACTCATAAGCACTTTGTGAGGGAGCCATTAACGGTCGCACATGTAGTTGAAAGATGTCTTCCCCATATGCAAAATGTGTTGGGAGAGGATTGTGATATAGGTGGTCTTTTTGGTTTCCTAAGGGAGACTAATATTTATCAATAATATTGAAACGTATAACATTTATGTAATAATTTCATCATTTAATGCATGATATTTATGCTTAAATTTTTAATGTAATAATTATTGCTATTTATATCTACTTAAAAGATATATATTGATAGATTTTTAAAGTTCTGAATATTTGAACATTTCAATCCAACAATGTATTCGCCGCTAATGACATTAGCTGTTGATGTGGTAGATAATTTTAATTAATCAATCAATCAATACCGGCCTGTGCCCTTGGTGCCTGCGGGATCAACATCCGGCACTCGAATGAGGTGCCATCGCTTGAATTACACTTTGTTAATCCATAGTTTAACGGGCGGATCATCTGATTTTGTGAAGTACTGTATTTATATGCAACTTATATATTTATATAACCACTCACATACACACACATGTGTATGTGCGTGTGTTTGTGGCAGCAAGACCAGAGGGGAGGTATTACGCATAACTTCTCATAGTTTTACTATCGGTAGATATTCATATAACCAGTATTTGAGTAACACCATATTATATATCAAAGACAATGCGAATGTTTTCATTACAATTTTGTTTGTGTGCTTGCAAAAGGTAATGCCAGCATACATTTTTATCTGATAATAAAACAAAACTGACATTGCTAGAATTATTATAAAATTTTATTGAGTTTGTTGGCGATGGTTGAAACCTCAGTAAGATCTCAGTTCAGGCCCTCCTCTCCATTTTAAAAATCACTGTCGTTAACAGTAATGCTTCTTAATTATGGCGAATGTGTTCTCCATGATTGAAGACCTTAACCTTGATGTGACCAAAGTTGGGAAGATCTTCGAATACACGTTCATCAGGAACCTTGCGATCCAGAGGGTAGCCATGAGGGCGATTGTCAGGGTACTTGCCATGGGAACCGTAGTGATTGAACTCAGTAGTTTCATGGAGGCCATCTATTGCTGCGTCGGCTGCGCCATCAGTAACAGCAACAACAAGGTCGAAATCCAGACCCTGTTCATTACCGTTCGGGAGAAGGAATTGATTTGGAATACCAGTGGCACTCTCGAAATCTGTAAGTCCGGAGTCTACACCACCCAAAGCATCTTTAGTCTTCTCAAAGAGAGTTGCGAAACTAGGGACATCAGGTACAGTGACAGCAGATTCTGAGGATTTGCGGGTGATGTGATTAACTCCACCAGACACTGTCGAAATGGAAGAAAAGTTTAGTAATTGTACAGAATTATTATATTTGAACAGTCACACACTGAACATGTATTTTATGTATGGGTAAACATTTAATCCACTGATGCAACTGTAAGGTATCTGTATAATTAATCATATAGTTATATTTGAATCATCGTTAAAACATTACATAAATGAAATAATATATATAGTACTTACATTTAACCCAGAATTTATCCAGTTCAATAGCATTCCAACGGCCCTCATCGAAGGTGAACTCGGTAGCGGACGGTAGCTAGAACTTCCTCGCCCTTGTCATTGCTAACATCAATTTTGAAATCAAAATCCTTATGATTGAGACGAGGCACATAAGTAGAGATCTCTACATCTTCAATTTGTTCAGTATCATCGACGGCATTAATGAGATTATATTCGAAGTCCTCAAAGTATGTCTCTAGTTCGCCTTCAATTGCTACATTGTCTACATTTATACCAGTAAATGTTAGTTCTTCCGTAGTGTAAGGAGGAAGACTATCCTTGTGTTCCTTGAAGATGTTATCCATATATTTGTGTAGCCTAAAGAAACTAGGGTCACGGGTAGCAGTTTCAAAGTGTTCTAGCACACCAGGGGGTAAATCATATTTTCCATGGGGATCACTCTGTCGACCAAGTACAATGTGAGCAGTATTGTGCAAGGACTGTACAAAGACGATTCAATGACGTCTCCAAGAACGTCAATACCACGCTCATTCATGATGTCAATGTGATTACCAGCCCTATCGACAATATAACCATGGGCAATAGCATCACGAATTCTGCTCGTCGACGGGATCCAAATAATTGGACAGACGTTCAGCATCAAAGCGAACAGTAAGTTGATGATGTACCCAGAAGAAATTCTCTCCTTTGCGATCCCGATGATGGCTGTATTTATCGTCCCACCAGAATGGGAATTCCATATGCCAGGTGACGTGGTGAGTGTTCAATCCAATGTCCTCTCCGAAATAGGCTACTCTTTGTTCAGGATTCTTCTTAGTTCCAGTGAAGCTAGACTTAAATTTACCAGGTTTTTGTGTCTGCTTGGTACGATAAGCTGCTTCAATGACTTCGTTGTTAGTGAAGAGATGTGGTGTAACCTCATAGAGAGTAGGAAGTACGTGTTCAGCCAGAGGTGAGTGGATGACCGCAACATACAAGGCATAAACAAATTCTCCCTCATTCATAATTTGGCGGAAGTAGGCAGCATTGCTGACAAATGTATCCCAACCCTTACTGTGAATAAGAACATCGAAAAGCATTAGTGCTTCGAGTCACGGATATCCCCATAGATTTTATGAAGCAGGAAGTTCACGTCATGTTGTTTCTGTGCATCAGACACACCTAGAAAATTATAAGAAATTATAGTGTACCTATAACTCAGTATTAGGTGCTATTATAGTAAATACGTTAGTTTAAAAAGTAGGTGTGTGTAAACATGAATTCATGCCCACACACACATATATATATACATACACACTTGCATACATATATGTATATACAGTATATATATACACATACATGCATATATATACACACACATTTATTTGTACGTGTATATATATATGTGAGTGTGTGTACATACATACACACATACATATATGTATATCTATATGCATATGTATGTATATATATGTATATATATATATATATATATATATATATATATATATATAAAGGTGTGTATGTTTATACACATATACGTACTTTAAGTTTATATAACCATATCTTTCAATTATATATATGGTTCCAGGAGTGCACATTGTCAACTCACCTCCTGCATCCGACTGGAAACCAAAGCTCGGCCAGGCGGCAGCAGCTGCAACAAGAGGGAGTAGCAGGAAAACCCTCATTTTGATGGGGCAGAACAGGAGCTGCGCAGTCTTTTATACTGCTTTTGGTGTTCAAAGTTCAAACGTTAGAGGTACTACTTGTTTCTATCGAATTTTTATTTTTTTCTGGAGTACCACTGATAAAGGAAATAAGAAAGCACCAGATACGTCTAGCTTATCTAAGAATGTAATGAAGAAGCCTGAATAATAGTATTTGAAATTATAAAGCATATTGTTTCACATATATATATTTATATATAAACATGCTTATACATATATCTATACACACACATATATATACATGTATATACATACATTCATACACACACATACATATAGATAGATAGATATATGAAAACATGTATGTATACATACATACATGCATACATACATACATACATACATGCATACATACATGCATACATACATACATGCATACAAACACATACCTACATACATACATACATGCAAACACACATACATACATACTGTTACTGTAGGGACAAAATGTGTACTTAGTTACGTTTTCTAAAGTGTACGATGTACAGTAAAACCTGAGAAAACCGGACCCTGAGAAAACCAGATCACTGTCCATTCCGGACGATATTCTCAGTCCCTTCCCATTTCAATAGGCGGCCTGTGTTAAAAGCCCACCCTCTCCAAACCGGATCACTGTCCAAACCGGACATTTTTTACAGTCCCATGGGTGTTCGGTTTTCTCAGGTTTTACTGTATATAGGGAATTTCCATAACTAATCTACATAAATATTAGAAGCCATTTTCTTACCCAGAGAAACCAAGTGAGGTGTGTGAGGTTATATATCTGGGTATATCTATGTAATCTGATGATATATCTTTATGTTAGCATAAGTAAATGATATATTGTGATATGAAGACTTAACTGAATGGGAATGTAATATAATTATTAATATCTTGTGTCAAGCAAGGATTATATGTAAAACATGTATTAGTTAAAGATTTGTTAATTTCAGTTTAACGGAAACCATTGGTAAAGAAATGGGTGAAAAGGGACAAAAATGGATGGCAATGAATTGCATGTAAAGAGAAGAAATCAAGATGTATTCAAGATGCAATAAACTGCCACAAAAAACACAAGCGTTCCCACCGGTTCTTGGCTCTCTGCAACTCAACACAACAGTTAAACTCACGATCTCATGTCCACAACAGTTAACAGTTAAACTCAGTCATGATCTGTATGCAAAATAAATGTTAAACTCAGGACCTTCTGCATCTGTTAGACCCAAGACCTCCTGTATGCAGCAGTTGCATAACTAAGTGAGGATGCTCATGAGAGTTGGATTCACATCTATCAACCTATCTTGCAAGATAATTCAAAGGTCAAGAAGGATAAGGAGAAAGGTGTGAATGTATTATGAGAATCCAAATTCAAGAGGATAGCCTATGAAATCACTGGAAGATCTCTGCTCTTTAAGGAAACTCTTCATTTCTACAGGAGTCACCAAAAGCTAGTGAACTTTTGACTAATAGGTACAAATTTGGTGTTTTAATTTCCATATCGGTCAGTAGCCAAATAATAGTTGTAATAATGAGTGCTACTGAAGAAGCTGTAGGTGACCATCCTCAGGTAACTGTGGCTAGTGAGGTAATGAAGGATGCTAGGAAAAAGGTTTTAACAGAAAATGGGTGTGAGTATCAGAGATATTGTCAAGTCTTGGTAGTGTAGTAACTTAGTGTTCATAAAAAGGCAGAAGAGTCACAATTTAAAGTTGTAAATGCCTATAATTTATTAATGGAAGTAAATCCAAGTTCTCAAGATGAATTGTAACAGCAGTTAAATTTTGAAACGGAGGAGCACAATAATTGTATGCTTAAAATTAAGAGTAAAATGAATGAGTTAAAACAAGAAACAAATTCAGTACATTCACAAAATAGTAGATCATCAAAGCACTCCCATTCTACAAAGAGATCTATGCAAAATTTTACACAAAATGAAAAGCAGAATTAGCTAAGTTAAAAATTGAGCTCAAGCTCTATGAAAAGAAAACCAAGTATCAGATGATCTTGAGAAAACAACAGAGGATCTTGAAAAAAAAGAAACTGAGTACAAAAAGTTTCTTGCCATGAGAAATAGACCTGCAGTTCAAGTAAAGAAAACCAGTCTAGAAGAAAATCAGCATTGATAATCTTACAGAAATTGAGAAAGTAAATTCTAATTTACCAAAACAAGAAATGGCTGCCAAGGAGGTATCGAGTATAGGGGAATTAGAGATAGAGGTGTCTAAATTAGAGAATACTTTCTTAAAAGCAAACCCAGAGCTTAAGCCATAAGCAAAGTTTATAGCTAAAAAGAAAGTTTAAAGATTTGAATGCATCATTTGGGCAAGATAGATCAAATTAATGTATTTAAGGATGAAAATATTTTGTCATCTAAAAGTAAAACTGAATTCCCTAAGCCAGAACCAGAAATTTTCACTGGAGATTTATTGGAGTTTCCAAACCGCCTTCAAATCTTTGAGATTTTTATAGAGTCGAGAGTTACAGAACCTGCAGAGAAACTTTTATATCTAGGTCACTATGCTAATGGGGAAGCTAAGGATGCCATTAGAGGACTTCTACGTATCCCCAAAGAAGAAACTTATCTTGAGGCTAAAGATATATTAGCGGATAGATTTTTATTTTATTTTTTTTTTTTTTGGGGGGGGGGGGCAAATTCTTTTAAAAGGAAATTGAGTGAATGGCCAAAGATTTCAAATAAAGATGGTCATGCACTACAGAAATTGTCAAACATCTTAAAGAATTGCTTAACAGTAATGAAAACAATAGAGTACCTTAATGTTTTAACCCATTCGCCACGGATTTATGTTCGGTCACCTGTAGTTTTTGGTGAATTTTGTTACATACAGATGGCTCCTCATGCGCTCAGCCGGCAAGGAGTCTATCAGTAGACCCTAGTTACCGACCCTGATTTTCCCATTCATTGAACTGGCGGGAAAACTAATATCATTGATTTCGATACTATTATTATTGTTATTGATGTTATGCTTATTGAATTGTCATTAGAATATTTTTGACTATGAAATGATACAAAAAACTCTTTCCTAAAGTGAAGGAAAGGGTAAACAGGTGAAATAGGTAGTTCTTGATAACTGGCTATTTGGTGATTAAAAACTTGTGGAGCCATCTATGTATAAATACAATAAATAAACGTGTATCAAAGTGGGTATGGCATCTATTCTTGCCACATGTGGCGAATGGGTTAAGTGATCTCCAAGAAAATAGCAAAATGTTACAGAAGTTATCCCTAGCTCTTATAGATAGAATTCTGTAGTTTACAGATGGTTTGCAAATGATGCAGCTTACCCTGCATTTTCAGTTTGTAGAGGCAAAGAAAGCTTGCCATCCAATTTCATCATATAGTGCAGTAATGGCAATTAATCAGTCTTAACATCAACGTTTCAATAAGTAGTAAGAAGGGTAAACCAGAAATAAACTAATCTTGCACAAAAAGGTATGTGACTAACTCAACTGGGGTAAAATAAACAGAGGTAGATAGGGATGACAAGAGTCCAGAGAAACCATACTGTAACTTTTACAAGGCTGATCATGAACTTGATAAATGTAAAGGGTTTAATGGACTTGACATGTCCAAAAAGATGGGCATTAGAAGTTGCCACTCCCTCTCAAAGATGATAAGGTCAAGCTTCCAAATAGTAAAGAATTAGCATTGTGCAGGTTGACGAGTCTAAAGAGGAAGCTAAAGCAAAAGAATTATTTTCTACAACACTATATTCCGTTTATGAGACTTCATAAACAGAGGCTATACAGAAGAGGCACCATGCCAGGATGTAAACTTCCAAGATGGCAGAGTATAGTATATTCTACATCATGGTGTATATCATTCAAGTAGGCCTGGCAAAATGAGAATGGTTTTCGATGGTAGTGCTGTGTTTACGAATGAATCACTTAATAAGAATCTCTTACAAAGTCCTGATCTGACAAATAACTTGATTGGCGTATTGTGCAGATTTACAGAAAAAAAATGTATTAATTGCATGTGATATAGAAGCCATGTTCCACCAAGTAAAGGTAAAGCCTGGTCACAGCTTGTGTTTATGTGTGTATGTGTGTATATATGTATATATGTCTGTGTGTGTGTGTGTGTGTCTATCTATTATCTATCTATCTATCTATATATCTATATCTATCTATATATATATGTGTGTGTGTATATATATGTGTGTGTCTGTGTATGTGTATATATATATGTATATATACATATATATATATATATATATATATATATATATATATATATATATATATATATATAAATACATATGTATATATATACGTATATATATATAATATATATATATATATATATATATATATATATATATATATATATATATATATGTATGTATATGTATATGTATATATATATATATATATTTACATATATATATATATATATATATATATATATATATATATATATATATATATATATATATAT